TTTGCATCTTTACAGATCTTCTTTATGCACCAAGAGCTTGTAACACTCCAAAGAGCAAGGAAAAATTGAAATCACATCATATGACCCCTTTAACTGTATGTATATGTATTGTAGCATAACAACAGCTTTTACAAATTCTCAAGAAATTCATTATGCTTGTGTTTAATGTTATTTCTGGTAACATTGGGCCTCATTTATTACACAAGCGAATTTCTTGGAAAATATGTAAAAACCATCATGTAACTTGTAGCTTTCAATTAAATGGGACAATTTATGTAAAAATTAGGGCAGATACACATATGAGATACACATATTACTTTCATGTTATGGCCGATAACCAATATTGAGCAGATATATATTAAAAAAATCGAAATTATTTTTTTCTAAATGAAAATAAAAATAAAACAATAAAATCAATAGTTTCAACGCTACATATGAATTTAGGCATCATAACATTACAAATGTACAGAATGAAAATGAATATTCATTTTGAGATTTGCTAAGCCTTGGATTTAACCACTCAATTCATATGGATTTGTTTTACGTTACCTTTATGACCTTTTTAGAAGTTTTGGTTACCTGGACTTTCAATAGAGGGACAGAAACCTTTTAGGTTTCAATAAAAAATATCTTAATTTATGTTTCAAAAATTAACCAAAGTCTTATAGGTTTGGAACAACATAAGGGTGAGAAAACAATGACAATTTTCATTTTTGGGTGAACTATCCCTTTAAGTGCAATATTATTTTACTACTACAAAATTACCCATACAAGGAATTTAATTTAATTTAATTTTACTGTTGCTGAAGTGTTGCATAGATGCTTGCAGCTCCAGCACTTCCAGCGTAGACACCTCGTGCAACAGTGGTCTCTTCCAGCGTAGACACAATGTTAGATGGCCTAGTGCGATCCCAGATGAAGTGACTTGAACAGCTGCTTTCAATCCACCTAATAAAGCTCTATTGAAATTGCATTTTGCACCTGTTCAGTGGTCAGGAGTCATGTTGAAACAGCTGCTCTTTGGGTGTCTACTTGTTCATTCAAAATGAAGGACCACTTCCTGTCACTGCAACAGACCATTAAACTCTAAAGACGAATAGCCAAATATCCTTTAAAACAAGCTTGAGCGCACTACAGACTTGTGAGGGAAGACGCTGGGCATGTCTTGTGTGGTTGCTATCTGGGATTACTTACACTACAAATTGGAAGTGTGAAGCCCATTGTGTAGAGCACAGTGGAGGTGACTGTGCTGGAGTGGAAGGGATAGCTGATGCTCTCATCATTACAGAAAAAGCCCCGCTGATACGGTTTGATTTTACCCAGGTTAAACGCTGCAAGCGGGAGGCCAGCTGTAGGTGAAGAAGGGTTAACAGTTTAATAAAGGGTCCACCAACCAATCAAATGCAAGGGCTTGTTTCCAGTGTTGATGAATGGCTGCTGCCACCTAAGAGATAAAGATTACATAACAGCTGTGCATTTATAATGACAAAGATTGTTCAGAAAGGACAACTGACAGGTGCTGCCATAGATTGTGACTTTGAATATCTGTTATTTTAAAGTGCCATATGTAAAGTCGACGGTGTATGATGACAGTTTAACAAAAGGTCAATGACATATAACAGTGTCCAAAATAATGAATATATAAGGGAGAAAAAAATGAAGTTTAAAACATATCAAGTTCTTAGAAATGTACATTCATGTTGGTTTTATGTGGTTTTGAAAAATAAGTTTACATTTAATAACTTGTGGTGTAATCATCAGGTAAAATGTAATAAAAAAATTTAAAAAGTTACATAATAATATTAAAAGTTATACAAAAACATAAAATTAAGAAACATTTAATTTTCTTTAAATATCATGAATTAAATCATAAATATTACTTTGAGTCGCACCAAATGACATTTTGCATCCTGAGCTAACCTAAATTCAATTTTAATTTAACTTAACTTATTGACCTTGACACATTTATGAGGGTCTCTATGATGTAATTTCCTGTTTAGTTTCTACATGGTCGCACCACATGACAGTGATTTTGGTGAACAAAGGTTTTTCGAATATTAAAAAGCAGTGAAGCAGTTTTGTTAAAACCTTCCTAAAAAGAAGATTACACTATTATTAATTATTATGCTTTTTTTTGTGTGTAAAAATTATGATATCAAAACAGTTGCATTACCCTGACCTATATATATATATATATATATATATATATATATATATATATATATCTCTCTCTCTCTCTCAAAAATAGCTTTAATTCAGAAGAAGTGTCAAGTCATTCTATTAATGAATTATCTATTTTTAATGCATTTTTATTAACTGATAGGACTAAGGAAATCAGCACCATTTCATCATCAATCTCCCAAAATCAAGGGCTAAATTAATCATGCTTCAAACACTTAATTACACTTATTGTCATCCTTCCTTAGTGCACTCAATCCAGACGCATTGCTTTCGCCACATACAGCCTCTTAAATTTTAGCTGACACTTATGTGTCTTTATCTATCCCATACTGCACTAATGTGACCTGACGGTGTAAAGTCTAGCATGAGAGCTCGTATGTAAACTTTGAATCCTCTATAGCCTCAGCCTATTGTTGCTGCTGTTGCAAAGTATTATGGGAAAACAACACAAACCCTCATTCATAGAGCCTGAGGCTCCTCTCCCAGGAGAAGACTATGGGTCTGTTAGTGATGCTAAGTGCATGTGACATACGCACACGTACAGATAAAGCTGGCTGCTCAAGCCTGAATTAAGGAAGAGCTGGATTGAGCTTAAGCTGAATTGCTCTTTGCTCCAATGAAGCCCCATTGTAATTCAAATGCCAAAACAAACATAATTAGGAAAGCCTTTGGGCTCAAACCGTCAGTATGGAACTACTCTACTGTGTATTCTCATAGTCTGTGTTTAAGTGGTACCGGTGGTATGTAAATATGCATTTGCAAATGAAAATCAAAGAAGGCACGTGACATGAGTATCAGCTTCACAAGTCATAATTGTGAGCCACTTCTCAATATGAGAGAAATGAACAGCATGTGTTTGCCAATGCTACCAAAATACAAACTCTAGTTGGGACTAGTCTACTTCATTACACTTAAAATACTTCCAAAAAGCTAAAATTCTCCTAAATCATTACTCCATCTTGGCACATTTATCAAAGAACAAGAACAAATAGCCATCATATGAAAGTGACTCATGGTTACTTTGTGGAAAGTTCGATCTGTTTGTTCCCCGTGTAAAAACTTGAAAACATTAAAAACGTTCCCCCAGTGCACTGAAAATTCCAAGATAAATACAGATCAAAACTTCCACCATAAATGCTGTAGGACTGAGCAGGGATTATTGGGGAATAACTAGATTCAGCATATAATTGTTAATTAAATCACATGGTTCCCACATATTTTGACCAAAGAATTTCCAAGACTTGTTCCGTCATTTGTGAATTTTTGGATAAGGATTTGAAATAATAATAATAATAACGTCATAGGAATAAATCACATTATTATGCATTATAATGGAGAGTGGGGCTAGTTTTCACATTGGGCCCCAAGAAAGTTGCCATATGCATGCCGGAAATTCATACAACTGACTATAATATTTGTTAGTTAAAACAATTATATGATCATTTTAAATGTTACCTTTTATCTTGTTGCATTGTGACAACATACCCCATATAGAGTGACAACAAGATCTGCTTTTGGGGCATGTTGTCACAGCAGGTGTGTTCAATAAATCTTTCTATCGTCTGTGTAATCTTTCGTTATACAGAAACGGACATTATAATTATTAAATAAAATATTTATAATTAGAGTAAAATTCATGGGCTGCTGTTTAAAAACAAAAGCTGTGGGGTTTCTCGTGGGATTTTTTTAATGATTTTCAGTGATGTTTCACGTGTATTCCCTTATACCCTGAGTCATTGTTATGCATAATAGACTCTCTGCATAATAGGTAACGCCCTGTTATTACGGAAAGTTTGATAAGGCATGTAGATGAAGGCGTGTAGACTCAGTACGCACTATGATGCGCACTATGGGTGTCGTATGTGGTTAATATGTCAGTACCATTGTTGCAATGTTGAATCCCATGCATTTAAATAACGTGCATGGCAACATGCATCTAAAACAACTGACACGTCTTTAGTATATTTATATATTAATATCTTACATTATTTATCTTATCTGTACAACACATATTAGCGCCAACGTTTTAAATTATTCTCACTTCGCTATAAGACTCAAGACAATATATCCATATCAATTCAGGAAATACAAGCAAGACCACTTAAAATAATGCTTACCGAGTATTAGGCACGCAATGTCAAGCAATATAAAGGGGATTCCTCTGGTTTCAAACATGGTGTCAGTGTCCTTCTGTGGGTCAGTTATGGAGATAAAGGCTCAATTGAAGGCGTCCTCAGTGTAAACAGACTGACGGAGAGTCCACCTCTAGTGGTCCACTGAGAGAGAAATGATCTGCAGCGACGCGCACTAACGCGAGCGCAAACACTCTTAATAACATTGACTGCGCAATGGCGACTAATAATCAGCCGGAGAGGAGGCAGAGCGAGCCGTTTGGTTGTAGTTCCTCCGATAAGATCACCATTTCAACGCATGAGGTTAAAAATAAGCGATGACGAGCCGGCGGTGTCTTTGAACTCCACTACTGAGCTTCTGCTGGCTGTCATGACGTACAACAGCTGAGGCTCATCTCAGCCAATCGCTCGTCTGTCGGTCTAAGCCACGCCCCCATACGCCTATACAATTAAATCTATATCATGACTAGGCAATGACTACCTGAGAAAAAAATACATTTCAAACACACACACACACATACACACACACACACATATATATATGTTAGTGCTGTCAAACGATTAATCGCGATTGCTCGCATCCAAAATAAAAGTTTTTGTTTGCATAATATATGTCTGTTCTATCCAGTGTTGGGGAAAGTTACTTTTAAAAGTAATGCATTTATATATACATGCATGTGTGTGCATTTATATATACATAATAAATATACACAGTACACATACATACACTATATAAACAAAAACTTTTATTTTGTATGCGATTAATCACGTTTAATCATTTGACAACACTAATATATATATATATATATATATATATATATGTTTATTTAAACAAACGTTTTTAATATTAATTAGAGACAGAAGCTTGTGAGAAATATAAATAGTGAGTAGTAAGATCTAATATTTACAATGTTTAAAGTATGTAAAAATTAATAATGTAATAATTTAATAACAGAAATATACAAGAAATTAATAAAAGCAGTGTTTTATAGGAAAAGTACTGTTTTCTATTTAGAACATGTAGTGTTTAATTAAAAAATGCTAATCATAGATACTCAAATGTCATTCATAACACAATTTGAGTGTCCTATAAAAATTGTGCAGCTTTATCATGACTATTTAAATATATCTTTAGTTTGTTGAGCCCTTTAGTGTTCTTCACAGTGTTCTTTAGTGTTCATGTGGTGTTCTTTACAAACAATGTCATATGAAATCAGTAAAAACAAATATTAAATTAAAATAGTAAGTGTATTGTTAAAAATGTTCAAAAATCACAGTACATATCATCATGGCAAGCCAAATAGACACAAAATAGTGCAGAGAGCAGGACGATTTTAATTAATGCAATACTGCCATCTAGTGGTAAAAAGTCTGGACAAATCATTTTCATTCGTTGTCGATGGTGTTTTTAGTAAATAATGACGTATGAAAATCAGTGTTTTTTTCTTTCGTTTTATTCTGCTATGTCCTCAAAAAAAAAAAAAAAAAAAAAATCTAAATGACTTTTCATTTACAATAAATCAGAGAGAATTCGTTCCAAAACAAAATATTTCAAGAATTCATAAACATACAAGCTTTGAGGTTTGTGGGTGAAGTAGAAAAAAAAAAGTCATGTCCCCCAATAAATAATTATATTAAACTATTCTACACAGCACTAGGAGAAAAACAGTGTGCTTCGCACCCTGAAGTCTTATATACCTGACAGGCTTGTATTCTGCCTGAACTTCAATAAAATTAAGCTAAATTTGAAGATTATAAATTGTGCACAAATAAAAGTATTTGGAAGGGTCACTTAAATAAACCCTCTTACAAATACTCTTAATCTTCAGCACTCATGATACTCTTTTCAAACAAAATTCTTTGTTATATAAAATGTCACTCAAATATTACAATTCTTTGTCTCTTTAAAATCAAAATTAGAATTTGATTTTCCTTTATAACCAATTATAACTTTGATGTGTTGTGTTATAATATGAGTATATAACGAAATCCCCCTATAAAACCATCGTCATGGACCATTTTGACAAATGGCACCACAAGGTGGCGCCACAACATTAAAAATTCAAGGGTAATAAAAGGAATTGCAGTTCTTTGAACCACTCGTCACATAAACTCTCAACACAGTTGTCTAGATACATGCATCAAGTCCCTCAGTCATCTTCTCGCTCATCGATTCACAATTAAGAAATGACGTACCCACGTTATACATTAACAGCAATAAGGCATTTTCTCTCTTGTATTCTAAAACAAAAAAAAAGCTGAAACAAAGTCTCGTCTAAATGTCACTTGTAGCAGTTAGTATAGTACAGAACGCTTTCTGAAAGACAGCAGTTTATCAGTGAAGTGCATTACAGGCTCATCACGTGCTGCATCTCTATAATACTGTGGATCATATTGTATCACTCCAAAGAGACTTGAAGGTCCTTTACTGCGCACCCACACATGACTGTCTTGTCTTGAGGGAATGTCTGTCTGCTGCTCTGTTCCTGTGGCGTCTCTTGGTTATCTCAGTGTTTGGGTTCGCATTTGTGCGTGCTTCAGTTTGACTAAAACCGGCTCTTCACTGAAGGCAGTACTGTATAATTTCTTCACTTCCCCTCTCATGCATAACATAAATGAACTCTGTCATCATTTACTCGCCCTAGTGTCATGCCAAACCAAATGACTTTCTTTCCTCTGTGAAACATTAAAGGAGAACTTCTGAAGAATGCACAGGATGCTCTTTTCCATGCGATTACAATCAAACATTTGGGAATAATTATGATTTTTTTTTTGAAAGAAGTCTCTTATGCTCACAGAGGCTGAATTTGTTTGAGTAAAGATACTGTAATGTGATATATTATTACAATTCAGAATAACTGTTTTCAATTTTAATGTTTTAAAATGTATTTGACACAAAGTTGAATTTTCAGCATCATTACTCCAGTTTTCAGTGTCACATGATCCTTCAGAAATCATAATAATATGCTGATTTGGTGCTCAGTTATTGTCAATTATTATTGGTGCTCAATTATTAATAATGATTCTTATTAGTATCAATGCTGAAGCCATTTGTGCTGCTTAATGTTTTTGTGGAAGCCCTGATACATTTTTTCAGGACTTTTTGATGAATAAAAAGTTCAATGCACAGCATTTATTTGAAATATAAATCTTTTGAAACATTATGCCTTTTACTGTATTTTTTAATCAAATAAATGGAGACTTGGTAAGCACACGAGACTTCTTTGGAAAACATTTAAAAAAGTCAGAATTATTTCAAAAACATTTGGATGGCAGTGTACTTATTTTTATACTATATTCCAGAACTTCTAAACCAATACAATTGAAACAAATAAAAAAAACATTTCAGAGTCAAAATCACAGATCAGTCTGATTCGTGAACAAATCATTCAAACTGGTTCTGTGCTGTGATTCAATAAAAAGATTAAATTCTTCAAAACTTTAACATAATGCTGGGCTTCATGTGGAACACTTTTTAATAGTGCGGTCACATGATTAATCATGATAAATCTCATTCAAAATAGTTGAGGTTTTTATGTAATATATGCGTGTGTACTGTATATATTTATTATGTACTGTATATATAAATACACACACATGCACATATATATTTAAGAAAAATATGTTGTTTATATATTTAAGATATTTAAATATAATATAAATTATATGAATATAAATATATACATGTCAATATTTTCAAAATATATACTGTATATGTGTAATAAATAAACACAGCCCACACACATACATTATGTAAACAAAAACATTTCTTTTGGATGCGATTAATCGCGATTACTCGTTTCACACCACTAATTTTTAATGATTTTGTGGTGCTTTTTCGAAGCTTCAGTCAATATTCGCTGTAAAAACAGTGAAAAAACCACCAGAGCTCTGCTTCCACAGAACAAACGACGTCAAATGTCATGAGGCTTCGTAAATGTTTCATTTTTGTGCCAACTGTCCCTTTAAGAGTATATAAAGAAGAGGTGACATCCATCAAGGTTTTTTAGCTCTGCTCCGCTGCTTCTGTTTGCGGAGGTGCGCCTCGATCTCGTGTCTGAAGAGCAGCATGCCCAGCTGGCCGTGCGAGGCCTCGTTCATAGCTTTAGACTGCATGCACATCTTGTACTGGTCCAGGGGCAATCCGTCAGCGCAGCGCTTCTCATGCCACAGGTGGAAGAGGCTGCGGGACGGGGCGCGCACCACCAGCAGGTTACTGTGGAGGTACTTCCTGTACAGGTGGACGTCCTCGCCGCCCCAGCCCTTAATGTCCACATCAAAACCACCTGTAAGAGGAGGAGACAGTCAGAATGTGTGTAATGACCGTGAACATTATGTAGTTTCATGGATTAACTCAAGCAGTACAGAGGTGGAGCTCAAGCATTTAAAGGGGTCATATAATGCGATTTAAATTTTTCCTTTCTCTTTGGAGTGTTACAAGCTCTTGGTGCATAAAGAAGATCTGTAAAGTTGCAAAGACTAAAGTCTCAAATCCAAAGAGATATTCTTTATAAAAGTTAAGAGTCAGCCACACCTACCTAAAACGGCTCGTTCTAACACGCCCCCACATATCTACCTCACTATGTGGGAAGATTTGCATAACGCCGCCCAAATGTTCACGCAAAGAAAGAAGGCGTAACTTTTAGTCTCACTGTAGTTTTGTTGACGCTGCAGCCATGTCGTGAAGGCGCTGTGTGCTTCGTTGTGAAAGCGAAACTACTTTGTTTGGTCTTCCAAAAGAGGACACGACTACAAATCAGTGGTTAAGTTGTATTTACAACACTGTTCCAGAACAGTTTAACCCAGATATCCAGATGTGTGCAGCACATTTTATGGAGGACTGTTTACTGATCCTGGGAGAGTAACGTTAGACTAAGATGCCGGCAGTTCTGACTCACGTAAGTACGTTTTCATTGAAAAGGGTCATATGATGCGATTTCAATTTTTCCTTTCTCTTTGGAGTGTTACAAGCTCTTGGTGCATAAAGAAGATCTGTAAAGTTGCAAA